GGCTGACAACTGCGCTGCAGATCGTATCATGGATACCTGTGGATCTCGCCGCCGCTACCATCGTTGATATGTGCGATATTGCAGCGGATACGCTACACCTTGTCCACCCGCAGCCGGTCAGATGGAACGCCATCATGGAGCCACTTGCGTCGAAACTCAATGTCCCTCTGGTCCCGTACGTTGAATGGCTTGCTCGCCTTGAGAGTCTGGCAGAAGATGGAGATGTGCATGCCACGCATGCGGGCAAAAACGACAAGGCAGCGCTACGTCTTCTATATGTCTACCGAAAGGCCTTGGCGACGCCGGAGCGACTGGAGGAAAGTATGGGTTTGATGCCACGGGTTGCCATGGACAAAGCTGTACGTATCTCGCGTATTCTTCAGGAAGGGAGCACACAGCAACTGGGACCGGAAGATGTAGAAAGGTGGCTCTCATATTGGCGTGTTACGGGATTCATGCGCAGCAGCTGAAAGGAGTATTACTCGCATGTATAACGCTTTGTTCATGCAATCTGGTCCAGGCTTCCTAGATACTGACTTCGTATTACTGTCATTGCTATACTTGTTGTCTTTCCCTGAAGCCTGGTCGTTACTGGGACACTGCCTCCGTGCGTCACCAGGAATCTCATTCCCCAATCATCTGTTAATATCTGCATACTTGTTGGCATGTCCCTTCTAACGCGTCACGGCCCGTCTTTAATAATTTTGGAAGAATGGCCGGCTATGTTCTGCGCTGATAGCGGACGGCGCTCTTCGCAATTTCTATTTGTCGCTGTTCGAGGAGGCGAGATTCTTGTCGCTTGTTTTGGTCGCTTGTTTTTTCGGTCTGTGCCTTGATCTGCTGCCTCTTCGGGACTCTTTGGGCGTCTGACACCAGAATTGCTCACGTGACCATCAGGCCGTGTCTGCGCAAACCGCGGGAAATGTCGACGCGACTTTTCGACTGTCGTACAGTCGTCGGTTAATTGCCCCAATTGTGGGAACGATTGGGACGACTGGCAGGCAACTGACCCAATGCTGATTGGTATACCTAACGAGAGAAAAAATCCTTTACAGGGAGTCAGTACAAGTAAAGGTATGTAAACAAGCATGAATGACTTACGGACTTCAGCCGAGGTGAGCAAAAACAACAGAAGTCCGCTCTACGTGACTATTCCTTATCACATGTCGAGGTTTATCCATGTTTACAATAAATAAGAATGGAAGTAAGTTCAGAGTACCAATACTCAGTTGTCTCGTACCCATCATATCCGCATTCCACCATCGCGAACAGGGGTCTGGGCATTTGGTCTGCTGTGACCGTTACATGCGGGCGCTTCAAGGGCGCTAAGTGGTCTGATACAAGACAAGGTGAATCGTTGCCTCGTGCGGTGGGAGCCGCGTCAGGTACCCGGCAACGAGGTGAGGAGAAGGAGTCGCATGACCCTGCCTTCAGTTCCTAGACGCGAAATCTCAATCACTGAGACTACTATCTAGAGTTCGTTGGCCTGATTTCGCTCACCCCAAAGGACGGGTATATTCTCAGCCGCGCGTCTCCTCAAAGCGCTACTCGTTGACATCCGCAAAAACCTTGCTCATCGAGGAGGTAGTAAACTCCGGGATCATGTTACGGGTTTGGTGGAATCGGTGCTACCAGGATACCCGTGTGGGCCAGAAGCCGGGCATGAGCCTTAATTGTTTGTGCTCCCCTTGGCCACGGTATGGCGACATTGAACAACTTGAATTCTCGCAGCGTCATTCATTTAGAATGGGTACTACTGACCACGAGTTCTACATATTGTTTCCTCTTCTCTGTCAAAACACACCACGCTCTGCTTGATTTGGTCAGGCTATCAGGCACAGGGACCTGGGAGAGAAGCCTTGAAGACTGAATGACTTTGCATATAGGATATAGCACGGCCGCGCAATCGCCACTCAGGGCGCGTTCACGTCCTGCCGGAGCTCGTGGTGTCCTCAAAGGTAAAGAAGCCCAATTTCAAAACAGCAGCAGAAGCAGGTTATCACAGGGTTGTAGACGCCGCCTCCGCGATAAATAGTGGCCACCATATCTCATGCAAACATTGTAGGCAAGCAACTTGACGCTCTCCTCCAGTATATACAGTCTATTGACCGGTATATCTCAGCGGTGATACGTATACCCATACTTTCTTCATCGCCTCCTAAGCTACTACAGCAATATCTGGCCATGCAGACTGTGATAGGAGACGTCAAGGGTTCAGACTTGTCCATTCCCCGACCTGACCTTACACTCGAAGATATCGACAAACATTCAATTGGTCCTCCTCATATCACACCCGTAGATGGCGGCCTATGGGCATGGCTCTCTGTCTTGGGAGGGTATGTCCTTGGCATTAGAAGTAGATGACTGGGTGCATCATCATCCCACAGATTCTGTGTTCTCACGTCCACATTCGGGTACTGCATGTCGTTCGGTGTCTATCAGGACTATTATGTCCTGTTAGGCTCTTCGAGTTCATCCGGTATCAGCTGGATTGGTTCCTTGCAGGCACGCCTCAAGGTTCTCACCTCTCCTACAGTTCTTGATCTAATCGCTTTCTAGACCTTTCTCATGCTGTTTGTCGGTCTGCCAGCCGGAAAGCTCTTCGATCTGGGACACTTTCACTATACCTTAGCTGCTGGGAGCGCCCTACATGTCTTCTCGTGAGTTACATCTTGCTTCACGTCGCGATCTAGTGACACAGCTTGGTTCGAGCAGCATGTTCATGCTATCGCTGGCCGATCCACACCAGTACTATCAACTTATACTTTCTCAAGGGGTGGGCATGGGTATAGGTAGTGGGCTTATGCTGGTTCCAGCCATGTCAGTACAGACGCATCACTGGAGCAAGCATCGCTCTCTTGCAATGGGTATTGTCATGACAGGTCAGACGCCTCACACCAGTTACTTCATGGGCGAGTCAAATGACCCTTGTGCAGGCTCAGGTGTCGGCGGAGTGATATTCCCAATCATGCTCAATAATATGATCTATGGCAGAGCCGGCTTCGCGTGGGCTGTCCGTGCGACGGCGTTCCTTACATTAGGACTTGTCATAATCGCTAACAGTGTCATGACGGCCCCTCTACCGAGTGTCAAGCGTCGACCATCTGGTTCCGTATCTGAGGTCAAGTCGATAATGACGGACCGCGCATTTCTCTTGTTCTTATCAGGGTTAGTTGGTAACATGCTCGTCGATGACGGATGCTCACCGTGAACTCTTCAGGAGCTTTTTCGCAACTTGGGGAGTGAATTTCGTGTGTACGCAGCAGTTAGAATGATCACCCAAAATCAAAATCAACCTGACCACGACACAGCCTTCTACCTACAACTATGGATGGACGTGCATCGCCTATCTAAGGCGCTCGCATTCTACACCGGAAATATCACTCGCATCCATTCTCTGTATTCCACCAAATCCTGACGCTAGCATATAGGTTGCTATATTGAATGCAGCCTCAATACCTGGGCGCATCGTACCAAACTTGCTCGCGGATCGTATCGGCACGTTCAATATTTTTGTGCCTGTTGTCATCGTCACAGGTGGACTCGTCTTCGCCATGTTCGGCGCTGTCAACACAGGAACCGTTATTGTGTTTTCGATACTGTATGGATTCTTCTCTGGTGCAGGTTGGCACGTCGCTGTGTGTTACTTGTTCACCTAGGGGCTGAAATATGCTATCATAGTCATGGCTTTGATACTGCCCACCGCTGCCAGTGTTGCGAATAATGTGCAGGAAATTGGGTGAGTGGCAAGGTTGTACTTCAGTATGTGTATCAGTGTCTCACGAATCCGTCTTGCTTAGCATTCGCTTGGGGCTCACATACTTTGTCAACTCCTTCGCGATCCTCACAGGCACACCCATCGATGGAGCATTGTACGACACGCACCACCAATGGTTCAGACCAATCGTCTTCAGCAGTGTGCGTTCCAATTGTATACTGTCTATCCTTGGACTTACCACTCATTAGGTCGTCATGTTGGCTGGCTCTATGACCCTGATCGTTTCGAGGCTGTTATACTCATCCAGGAAGCGCACGCAGATTGTCTGATCCCCATATTGACCGTCCATTCTTAGGACGATATAAAATTTGTGAGATTCATAACCCAGATTATAGCGACCCCCTTAGCGCATGTAGATCCCGGAGCTTCGACTTGTATAACGTAAATATGGGCTACGTACGATGCTCTTGTCTATGCCAGTGACTGTAGACGTATACACCCCTTGAAATATACTCAGCTTGTCAACACTCCTATCCCCAGCGCTCGCTGACAGGTTCTAATAAAAAATCTGTCTGAATATTTGCTGTCTACGTGATACATTATACAAACGCGTAGCATGTACACAAGGCGTATAAGCGCACAACGCGAATGTACCCTACAACCTCTGGAAGGTGGACAGACTAAATACGGGCTAAGGCGGAATAAAGCCCACAGACCGCCAGTATGACAGCCACCTCTCAACATCCCCTGTTCCCAGTTGCCGCACAGCCTGGTCCGCTAAGGCGCTGGATAGACGCGGTGCTTTGTTTGTTGCAACCCGCGGCATCAAGCCCATGCTCTCTTCTAACCTGCGCGGCGTCGCCAGCGTCGAGTGTGCCTTGCGATAAACGTACAGAAGCCTTAATGCCGCTCGCTCATTTTGTTTCCCGTGGGCAGACGTCTCCTGGTCCTCAGCAAGGCTCTCCAAGCGCGCCAACCATTCGGCGTAAGGAACTAGCGGCACGCTTAGCGCGGAGGCCAGCGGCTGCATGATGGTATCCCATGTTACTGGGCGCGGATGCACGAGATGCAACGTGTCTGCAGGGACACCGCACAGTTCCACGATCGCAGTGGCGGCGAGGTCCATTGGTATCCAGGAAATGATCTGCGGGGAGAGCAATTACTCGATACGAATCGGAGTAGGGCAGATATAATAATCGCACCTCGTGACCCTCAGGCAGGCAGCCAAGATACGTCGCAGACTGTACGAGTGCGGGAAACCAGTGATTAATGTCCCATGAACCGCTCGCGCCACCAGTCAACAAGCCGACGCGGAAGACGCTCGCGTTCAGCATTCCCAACTGCGCCGCCGTTTGCACGAGTCTCTCTGCAACCCACTTAGACTCGGTGTATCCGCTCTGGATGGCTATATGGGGAGAGGTGATCGACTCTTCCGGGGCTGGGGTGGACTGGTCGTGTTCTATGGCATGTGCTTGGTGAGGATGCTCTATAGAGGTAATAAAAAAATATTACCTTGGTAGATCCCGACTGTACTGATAAAAACAAAGGAAGGACGTGTGGAAAGTTTGCTCCGAGCAGCGAGATCTAGTAAGTGGCGTGTGCCGACAAGCTGGTCCTCAAAGCTCTCCAGCGGAGAATACAAGTCGATCGTCCAGGCTGGTGCATGAGGGTCAGAATACTATTCATACAAAAGAGAAGCTATATCCGACCATTGTGGATGATATGTGTCACGCTGGACAATATCTGTAAGTAAATGATTAGTCGAACGCACTTCATATATTAATGCTGAGTGCGAGAAACGAACGTCGTTCATAGTATGACTGTCTATCCCAAGATCAGTGTTCTTCAAGGTGCCTTCGAGCAAGACTAGCTTCGAACATGTAGCCAAGGACTTGGAAAAGCCCTGATCGATGAAGGCGGCCACCTGCCGCTGTTGTAAAGTAGATCCGCTCGTAGACGTTCTGTTTAGGGCATATACAGTTTTGATCTGATCCTTGTAGAGCAGTTGCGCTAGTATGCTGCACCCAAGGGCGCCCGTCGTTCCAGTGATGAGCACCGTCTGTTCCATGGGCTCTGGACATGGGCTTGTCGGCACGTCATTATCACATGTGCTTGGCGCGTACTTCGTGACAAGATCCTGCATGACCTTGTCCTTAGGCTGAGAAGTCACTACTCCAATCGCAGAGACATTCTGCAGTGACTTCCGCGAAGCACGGCGCAACAGCTCGCCTACCGTTACGTTGGCGAGCAGCTGGAGTTGCGTGACCTCAACGTATGGACGAAGCAGGAGTGAGAGCCTGGCGGCGGAGAGCGAGTCGATGCCGTATGCCGTCAGAGGCGTGTCGTTAGAGAGGTCGACAGCAGCAATGTTGAGTGTGGTGCGGACAAGGTCCACAATCTGGTCGCCTCTGTCTTCTGCGGAGGTCTGGACGGATGCTTGACTGCTTATAAGATGCTCGCCTAGGATTGTCATCCCAAGAGTACGGTTCTGCGCCTCCCAATCCATGTCTGGTACGTAGCGCGTGAAACGTTGGTTACGATACCGCGTCATCGCATCGTCGAACCACAGCACCATCTCTGCGTAATAGGTTTCACCGTCATTAACACCATCCTGTCTATCGGAGTTTACACACCTTCGGCGGAAATAGACCACTGAATTGCATGGCCTAGACGTGGCACTGCCAGTTCGTGGCCAGCCAACATCAGGGATGAGTCTAGGATGCCAGGACATACAAAAGCAAATGCATTTGTCATATTCGATATCGCATCTTCCAGCGCGGTGTTGGCCCTAATTGATCATTTAAGCAATGGGTCGATCGACTACAGAATGAAAGACGCACGCTCCGTAGTTCGTTTGTCCACCGAATCCAAATAGACCAGACATGGAAGTAAACGCGACAATGAAGTCCGCGCGACTGACATCGAATACACCTCGTAAAGTCTCCAGCACACCTAACTTGCCCGCAAAAACGGCCTTGAAGTCGGCCTCTGTTGTGTGCTGGAAAGTCCGGTCGGAGAGCACGGCGGTCAGGATGATGCATCCACCAATCTCCATGTTCGTCGACCTGACCAAGTTGGCCATGTCGGACAAAGAAAGGGCATCTACTGCTTCCAAGCGGAGGTCCAGGTCCGCTAGACTTTCCATGTAAAGGAAAAGGCGGCGCACTGTGGGGTTCGTGATGTCCTCTAGCCCTGACCGGCCGCGACGTGATGTGACAATCAGGTGTCTTGCGCCTCTCTGAAAAGCTTAAGTTAGAAAGGCATTGTGATACACCTGACGAAGATCCGTACCTCGTACATGTACTTGCATAAATGCGCGCCAATGTTCCCAATCCCGCCAATGACAAGGTACGTTTTATCTGCATGAAAGAGCGTAATACGGTCTGGTGTATGAAGGGATGAGTCCACCGCGTTCAACACAGGACTAAGTGGGGAAGAGGGCGTAAAGTGTAACAACGTTGCGTGTTGTTCCAGCAGGGGAGCTGCAACAGTAAGAGCATCCTGGATAAGATAAGGGTCTCTTTGAAGAATGTCGACAATGTCCCCTCCCGCAGTGTTCCACATGAACATTTTTCCTCGGCCAGATCGGAGTAGAGAGCGCAGTAATCTTATGTGGGCCGTTTCGCTTTCCGCATACCCAGAAATAATCAAGTGAAAGCCGTCAGTACCCGCACGGGCAAGTTCCAGCATAGTAGCATTTTGATGGAATTGCAAAACTTCGATCTTGAAAGCGGAGTACAGGAATGCGATTGCACGCCCGATTGGCGAGTCTGCGTGCGTTAGTAGGATGCGCATGGACTGTAGTCGCTTCAGATGCTTGAAGTTAAAGGTGCATAATCCCGGCGCAAGAACCGCGGAGAGGAAACCTAGGAGGCCAATGGCAGCTGTGGTCCCCAGGTTGAGAATATCAACTGATACAGGATGTAGAACATCAGGATCAACCGTTGAGCATTGAGGCGGCGCGCAATCGAGAATGCCCACTACGTGTGTCCCTGCTGCCAGAGACGCTGCCCTCGATTTCTTGATGGTACCAATAACGGCCGAGCATGAACTGGATGTATAGGAGAATCGGATATCCACAAGCACCTTCCCAGGAGGAACGTCTTCATCCAGGGCCTTGCACCTTGCGTACTCTTCTGGGACCGAAGACGGGATTGGGACCAGCCGAGGAACGAGGAAGTCGCCTTCAGGCGATATCATAATTTCTGGCTCATTCTTCATCGCCGCCGGTAGTCTGAGAAGATGCTCCTTCTTCATTTCCTCTGTAAAGGTGTCGGGGAAAGTGACGAGCCGGATCGTCCAAGTGACGTACTCTCTTCGAAGAGCGCGGAGTAGGCCAGCGGCCAATCCACCGTCACGACCCTCGACAGCTAGCACCCATATGTCCAGTTCCTCGGATGGATTGAGCCCGCTAAGATCCCACTGAAGGTCTATCTCGCCGCCGTAAGTGTAGTTGAATGTGAAGGCTGCTTCCTCTTCGAACAGTGTTCGAGATGCGGCGGTAAGATAGCCGATGGACGTCTTACGGCCAATGATGGTGGCTGTGGGCGAGGAGCCTTGCGTATTCGTAATGCGATCTATAACGTACATTCCTGAGCCTTCACATTCGTCGCAAAATTGAGGCATATGCGACTGCGCAGTCACTATCGAAACGCCTCCGGGTACCAGACAGCGACCCGCTCCGGAGATGATATGAGCGAGTTTAACACCTTCATGCAAGACACTACGGATGAGTACGATGTCGTAGCACTGGGGATTCGAAGGTTCTTCATCCTTGAGCAACGCATCTACGTCGGCGGTCCGCACGACCCCAGATTGCAGCCCCAACGCACATATGTCGCGCTGGCCTTCGTCGCCCACGAAGATCTCGTAGAAGATGGAAGGGAATGCGTTGAGGACCGACGTCACGTATGGAAATATGTGCGGCTCTATATCCAGAATGAGATGATACTCGCGGCCCAGAGATGGTGTTGCATCTTACCCGTGGTCATGATGGCTAGTCGCAGTACGCGCTGGCCCTCAGAGGCCAAGGATGCCAACGTCCATCGCAGCGCCACAACATCGCGTAGCGCAGTGTCATCCAAGGGGACAGACACTGTGGAACATGGAATGATCTAATACAACGTCAGCGCTGCTGTAAAACTGGCCACCTCATCGACGTCAGCTCACTATGTCATTGTCCACATCCCATATCGACCTGCAATTGCCGTTGCTCTCCACAGATTGCGGCACGTCCAAATTTGCAGATACAAATGCAGGCTGATAGATCAAGTGAAGTGGGCGAACGATCATCGGTAATGGATCAATGTGATGTCTTTCCACTGCCAGAGATTGCAGGGTGCATATGCGTCGTCCAAGGTCATCCACGAGCGCAATATTGTAAAATATCTGTTCTGAGATCGCGAGGTGGTCAGCACACGTCGCGCGCGAATAAGAGCGAAACGAACCTGGTGTCCATCCCTTAAACACGACGTGCGCATAGAGATGACGCGGAAGTGGCTTCTCATGAACATTACGGTGCAGAATTACGGCGTCAACATGAGCAGGAAGATAGTACGCATTGTGATCATAGTTGCCATTGAAGGGCCGGAATGCCGTCATGTGCAGGCAGGCGTCCAGGATGGCGGGATGTAGGCGATATCTTCCAGACCTGGCGCCAATTTAGAAACAGCATCGAGGACCGTAAGATGACGTACCGTAGCAATGTCTCATCCATGCCCTTGATGGAGACAAGAGCTTCCTTCTCACTGTAATAGGCGTTCGTTACACGGCGTAGTCGTGGTCCATACGTAGAGAAATAGGACAACGACTTGTAAAATGCTGGACATACTCAATGTCAGTACGAAGGCCAGTTCACCACCTTGCCGTCACGCACATGAATCGACATTGTTCGTGCATCGCTTCCTGATTGCTACAATGTCCACATCGTCCAAAGCTTCCGGTGGCTCAAATGTCAGGTAGCCGTCAGCATGCAGACGCTTCTGTTGCTGTATGTCGTGCTCGACATCGTGTATTCAATAAGAAGTATGAAGGTCTGCTTACTACACTTGCATCACATTGCCCACGAGGTGCGAGAGATTCGACTGTCCAATACGATGAGTCTAGTTTCACTTCGACCCGAGTAGGCCTCTCGGAAGAAAGCGACAGGATCGACCGAAGGCTGACGTTGATGAGCGCAGTCGCACCAAACTCGATGGCCTAGAAGCAAACTGAGCATCGGACCAAATCCCCCCCTAGACAGGATATC